AGACAAAGAAGGTCTTTCCCCATGTGGATCCCAAACACCACGTTCCCTGGGTTCTCCTCCATCCCATTTTCCAGATGGGTTCTGAACAATGAAGTCACTTGCCCACAGTCCCGAGATAGCAAGTGGCAAGCCTGAGACCTGAGACTGAGTCTGTCTGAATCCATGGCCTGAGTTCTTAACCATCAAACTTCTTTGTGCCTGTATTAGTCCGTTTTCACACAGCTATAAAGAAATACTCAAGACTGGGTAACTTATGAAGGAAAGAGATTTAATTGACTCACTGTTCTGCATGGCTGGGGAGGCCTCAGGAAACTTACAGTCATGGCAGAAAGTGAAGGAAAAGCAAGCTTGAACCTTCACACTTGGCAGCAGGAGAGAGAAGAGAGAATGAGGAAGTGCCACACTTCTCGTGAGAACTCACTCACTATCATGAGAATAGCATGGGGGAGACAGTCTCCATCATCCAGTCACCTCCACCTGGCCTCTCCCTAGACACATGTGGATTATGGGAATTACAATTCAAGATGAGACTTGGGTGGAGACACAGCCAAACCACATCAGTGCCCCCGAAACAATAGTTCTGGAAGGTCCATGCCTGCAAAGACTGGGCAATCAGAGACACAGCGACTGGGTGAAAAATTATTTCTATGACTCAGTTCGGGACAAGTAAAGTAAATCATGGACCACTTCTGGGAACTCTGGGGGAAAGTGGGCTTACCCATAGGAACTGAGCTTCTGGGACTCATCATTGACATCATGAGGGAAAGGCTGCCTTGAAAGGAAAAGTGATGAACAGAAGGAGAAAACCAAGAGATGGAGCCAGATTTCCAACGTAATTGTGCGAGCCCTGTATTCAGCCATGCCTGAAGGCCACTCAACCAAGACATTACAGTCAATAGATTCCCTTTCTTTGCTGAGACCACATCAGGTTGAATTTCCACCACTCACAACTGAAAGAGACCTCAGTAGCCAGAGACAGCTGGGAATCTGCTCAAAGTCACTCAGCATTTTGGGGTCAGGTCCATAGTCTCTGTGGGACACTTCTGCTTCCCCTGCTCAGCCAAGTCTGTCCAAAGTTGGGAAGGGCAGAGGGCAAGGGTAGAGCTCCGGGCTGGGGTGAGGTCTCCTACTGGAGATCCCTGGGACCCTGGAGCAGGTGGGCAATGAGCATATAGTGAAAGAACTACAGGACGGGGTAGAAGGAATCAACCCACAAGAGGTGGATGTCATGAAAATAGCAGCCCAGATTCTCCACCAGTCACAAGTCCTCCTCATTGTTGTGAGCTTGGGGACAGGCAAGGAGCTGCCAGGCCTGGCAGGGTGTCTTGAATACTAACGATGCCCAATTCCAGCACTCCACAAACATTCCTACCCATTGTTTCAGACCTAGCTCCGGCAACTCCTCCTCCAGGAAGTCTTCCAACCTGCCCCAGCAGAGAACTTGTTCTCCTCTGGGCTGTCGTAGCCCATCTTCTTCTGGACCACTCCTGACCCCATGAAGTTGGCGATGTCTTTATCCAGATCCATCTCTTCAAGTTTGGGGGTTCTTCCAGGACGGGGCCTTGGATTGAGGCCTCTTGGTGCCCCAGAGCAGCCCAGAACACCAGGACAGCGGGGTCAGATAGCAGTGGAGGGAGGAGATGCTGAGATGGGAATTGGTGAATACATAAAAGAAAGACAATGACAGCTGAGAGAGAAGGAAAGGAGGGACCAGAGTATGACAGGGCCCTGGGTAGGGACCAGCCCCTGAGGCTGTGCCAGGAGTATAAAAACCCAGCTCCCAGAGGAACAACCAAATGGCTAAAAAGATGTGTCCATTTCTGCCTCCTTCCTCTTATGACCAGTTGGCTTCCCCTGTCAGACACTGGATATCCACATCCAAAAAAATGTCAAACCACAATTCACGCCCCATACAAAATTTAACCAAATAGAGATTATGGAATTTCATGTAAAATCTAAAACTATAAAACTTTTAAAGAGAGTGTAGGGTAAAATCTCCGTGACCTCCAATTAAGCAAAGAGTTCCTATGTATGGCAGTGTAAACGTAATTGATAAGTCTTACCTCATTCAAATTGAAAACGTTTTCTCTATGAAAGAAACTTCAGAGTCTAGGAAAAAGACTTGTAAATCACACAACTGACAAAAGACTTGTACATAAAATTTATAAAGAACTCTCAAAATCCAACAATAAGAAGGCGAACCACCCAAGGAAAAATTAACGAGCAGATGATTGAACAGACACTTCACCAAAGAAAATATAGGAGTGTCAAATGAGCACAGGAAAGCACGAGTGTTCAATGCCGTTAGTCACTGGGAGACACGAATTAAAATCTCAGGGATATGCCACAACATGCCCATAAAGGAAGGCTGAAACAAAAGCTCACACTACCAATGGCTGTTAATTATTTGGAGGACCCAGAATTCTCATACATGACTTGCGGAAATTAAACATGATGCAGATGCTTTGGAAGCAGTTTGGTAGTTTCTTTTTATTTTATTTTATTTTATTTTTTTGAGACTGAGTCTCGCTATGTCCCCCTCCCCCAGGCTAGAGTGCAGTGGCACCACCTCAGCTCACTGCAACCTCCGCCTCCCAGTTTCAAGTGATTCTCATGCATCAACCTCCCCAGTAGCTGGGATTACAGGCCCGCACCTGCACAACCAGCTAACTTCTGTATTTTTGTAGAGATGGGGTTTCACCTTGTTGCCCAGCCTGGTCTCGAACTCTTGGCTTCAAGTGATTTGCCTGCGTAGCCCTCCCCAAGTGCTGGGATTACAGGCCCGGCCCGGTTTGATAGTTTCTTATCATGTTATACGTACACTTAGAATATGATCCAGCCATCTCATTCTAACAGCAATGAGAACTTAGGCTCCCCCAAGAACCTCTATACAAATATTCGTAGCAGTTTCATTCCTAATAGCCAAAAACTGGAAACAATCCACACATCCTTCAGCTGATGAGCAAAGAGTGTCCCATCTATGCCAGGGACTCTTACTCAGCAATAAAAAGAATCAAAGTCTTGACATGTGCAATATGGGAGAATCTCAAACGCATTATACTAAGCGAAAGCAGCCAGACTCCAAGGCTACATATGATATGACTCCATTTACAACAATATGAAGAAAGAAAATCTATAGGAATACAAAACATGTTGTGGCTGCCAGGGCTTAGGGATGGAAGAAAGCTTTTTGCTGCAAAGGGTGGCTATGGTAGTGATGGGTACACGACTCTAGCCATTTGTGAAAACTCAGAACTGTGCGCCCAGTAGAAGAAAGTTTACTTCTGAAGTTTTGACGTAATTTCAAGGTGAGGCAGAAGGTGACTAGTTACATGTGTTGTTTGCCTAAATAATGAAAGGATACCCAAAGAACAAAAGTGTTTACCTTTATGAAGAGGGAGAAACTGGGCCAAGTGCGGTGGCTCACACCTGTAATCCAGCAGTTTGGGAGGCCAAGGCAGGCAGATCACCTGAGGTCAGGAGTTCGAGACCAGCCTGGCCAACATGGTGAAACTCCATCTCTACTAAAAATACAAAATACTTAGAAGGCTGAGGCATGAGAATCTCTTGAGCCGGGAGGCGGAGGGTTGCAGTGGCTGAGATCACTTTGCTACACTCCAGACTGGGCAACACAGGTGACAAAAGACAGAAAGACAGAAGGAAGGGAGGAGGGAGGGGAAGGGAAGAGGGGAAGTGGAGGGGAAGGGGAGGAGGAAGGGGAGGGGAAGTGGAGGGGAAGGGGAGGGGGAAGGAGGGAGGAGAGAGAGAGGGGGGAAGGGAGGGAAGGGGGAGAAGGGGGAGGGAAAGGGAGGAGGGGAAGGAGAGAGAAAGGGGAAGGGGAGGGAGGAGAGGGGAAGGGGAGGGGAAGGGGAGGGGAAGGGGAGGGAAAGGGAGGGGAAGGGGAGGGAAAGGGAGGGGAAGGGAGGGGAGCGGAAGGGAAGGGAAGGGAATCCCTGTGGCTGCCAGGGGTTATGGATGGAAGAAAGTTTTCTACTGCAAAGGGTGGCTATGGTAGTGATGGGTACACGACTCTAGCCATTTGTGAAAACTCAGAACTGTGCACCCAATAGAACAAAATTTTACTTCTGAAAATTTAACGTAATTTGAGGGTGAGGCAGAGTGTTACTAACTACGTGTATTGTTTGCCTAACTAAATGAAAGGATACTCAGAGAGTAAAAGTGTTTACCTTTATAAAGAGGGAGAAAATGGGCAGAGGAAGGACATATGTAGCACCAGTACTTCTCACTGTGCATTTAACTTTTTACATGAGTGAATGTATTTCATGTCCACAATATTACATTTAAAAATTTAGGGCCAGGCGTGGTGGCTCACACCTGTAATCTCAGAACTTTGGGAGGCTGATGTGGGCAGATCACCTGAGGTCAGGAGTTCAACACCAGTCTGGCCAACATGGTGAAACCCTGTCTCTATTAAAAATACAACAATTAGCTGGGTGTGGTGGCGGGTGCCTGTAATCCCAGCTACTTGGGAGGCTGAGGCAGGACAATTACTTGAACCTGGGGGGTGGAGGTTACAATGAGCCAAGATCATGCCACTGCACTCCAGCCTGGGCAACAGAGTAAGACTCTGTCTCAAAAAAAAAAAAAAAAATTAGGCACCCCCTATCAAAGTCTCGTCTACTCACTCTGGAGTGGTCCCCAGGTGTTCTGATGTGCCTAGGGCAGAGGGTCACTTTGAAAATCACTTCTGTGGTAGGATAAGGCATGACCTCTGATGCCAAATGAACCAGATTTATTCCCACTCTGCCACTCACTGAGTGACCTTGAGCAAGAGAGTTAGCGTCCACTCCATAAAATTGGTGTGAGGATGAAAACCACTTTTACCTGGGAAAGCTAAAATGCCACCTTCTCCCTTCTCAGTGGTCTATTTGTTAATAGGACAAAAAAAAATCAGTGTCTGTGGAGTTTGTAGGGCATACCTGTCTAGAAAAGTGTCTAACCACACCTGTATCTTACAGGAATATTTGTGCGTCTATTGCTATAAAAATAAGATCTCTATTCCAAAAGTCATTTGATGAAGAACAACTCGATTTCTAACTGATAATGATACTTCAAGCCATTAATGTGCATGAAAAGAAATCTTACAAACTGAGACAAAACCCTTTTACATTATTTTCTAAAATTACATATTTTAAAACATTTAAGACTGATTTGAATACTTAACATACACATTTTGAAAAACACAAAATAATGTTTCCTAAGATGCTCACAACATATTCCTGTGTGAATAATACAGATGGAAAAAAGAATATATGAGCTATAATAGCATTTTTAGGTAGAATTCACATGAAAATCACCATTTCAACCATTCTAAAGTGTCCAATTCAACAGCGTTTAGTGCACTCACAATGTCGTGCTACCTTCGTCACTATCTAGGTCCGGAACATTTTCACCATCCCAGGAGGAAACCCCATCCTGATTAGCAGTCGCTCCTCAGTCCCACCTCCCCACAGCTGCTGAAAGCCACCCATCTGCTATACATCTCTTCAGGTTGGCCTGTTCTGGAAATTTCACATAAAAGGACTGCACACTGTGTGACCTTTTGCATCTGATGTCTTTCATTCAGTATCATGTATTCAAGGTTCATCCACAGTGTAGTAGGGATCACTGCTTCATTCCTTTTTATGGTTGTGTAATATTCCATTGTATGGGTGGACCACATTTTGTTTACCATTTCTTCTGGTAATACACACCTTGGGGTTGTTTTCATCGTTTGGCCATTGTGAATAGGGCTGCCATGAACATTCATGCACAAGCGTCTTTTTGTTTGAACACCTGTCTCAATTATTTTGAGTAGGTATCTAGGATGCAATACAGGAGTGTGGAATAGGGTCATAGGGTAATTCTGTGCTTCACTTTTGATGAATCAGGGGTCATTTTAATGGGGTCAGAGTGGGTCTCTGCAGAACTCAGCTCAGGGGCTCCACCCGCAGCCAAAGTCCGCCCTCTGCGCGCAGGACCAGCTCCGGCTTCCTGCGGGGCTCAGTGTGGTCCGGCAGGACGCGGAAGCGCAGCAGCGTGAGCCCGAGGACCACCTTCATCTCGGCCATCGCGAACGCCTGCCCGATGCAATTCCTTGGGGAGAGGGGTGGAAACTCTGATTGCACCCAGGAGCCCCATCCTGGACCCCTCAAGCTGAAAACCTGGCCTGGGACACCCAACCCCGCCCAGGTCAGTTTGAGGAATAGAGAAGTGGGTATCCGTGCCTGGATCCCCATGTGGGCTTGCATATCCTGCAAGTCTAGCCCAGCTCCAGCCCCCAGCCTAGACCAAGGTGGGGTGGGAGGGGGCTCTGAGCACACCAGGGATCCGTCTAGGACCAACCCAACCCTACTCTATGGACCTTTTCCCATAAACTCCAGAGGAGGTGAGGGAAGGAGAGCTGGAATTTGGACCATCTACAATGTCCCCCTTCTCCCCATTGTCATGCCCAGACCCCTGCACCTATCAACCCGTCCCCATCTCAGACACAGGCCGCCCTTACCTGGGTCCTGCCGAGAAGGGAATAAAAGCCAGAGGTGACCTCTCCTTGACGTTCTCTGGGTCAAAGCGAAAGGGGTCGTAGACCTGGAGGTAAGACCAAGAAGCATGGCTGGGTGGGGTCTCCCAGTCCACGACCCTTGAAGAGAGAGACAGTTGTGTGCATCTTGGAGGGAGGCGATGTTGGATTCTCCTGATCAAAATCCTGCCCCCTCCTCTAGGAGCCTTGGAATGGACAAAAAACAGAGGGAGGGAGGGAGGGGGGCCCCACACCTCAGGGTCCGGCCACACAGCTGGGTTGTGATGGGTTCCGAGAACACTGATGTGGCAGATAACACCTGTGGGAGAGAAGGGGGCCGTCAGGACAAGTACCCTGGCCGAGGGGCTCCTCTTCCTACCCAGGAGGCTCCTCCCCGTGAGGCTGTGAGCACCTTTGGGGATGACCCGGCCGTCTGGGAGCACAATGTCTTGGGTGCAGCATCGGGAGACGGCAGGAACTGGGGGATGCAGCCGCAGGCTCTCCTTCATGCACATGGTCAGGAAGGGCAGCTGGGCCAGGTCGTCCCTAAGGAAACACCCAGCCCCAATCCTTATTAAAGGAGCAAAGACACAACTATCAGCTTCTCTGTTTGCAAGTGAGAGGTTTTCTCCCTATAACGAAATAAACTTTTAAAAAGCATGGTTACAAAGTTGCAGGAATAAAAACAGTGTGGCACTGTTGCAGAAACAAGAAAACAGACCCATGGAACAGTACAAAGAGCTCAGAAAAATACATGAGAATAAGTGAAAACTTCACCTTTGGTAAAGGGGCCCCTACCCACCCCAAACAAAATCCTGGGAAATGGATAGATTTTACAGTTGAAAGAAACATGTGAACCAACTTAACGTCATAGAAATTAATCAAAAGTACCCTCCAAAAGTTAAAAGGCAATATTTTGCAACACAAGGCAGAAAAAAATCAATCTTAATACACATTCTTAAAAGTAAATACTTTTAAACAGTCCAAAGAAAAAGAGGAAAAATAATAAGAAAATCAGTTCCATAAAAAGAAAGCAAATAACATCAGCACGTGCAAGAGATGTTCAGCCTCACTCTTATTTTTTTAAATGTCCATCAAAAGAAGAAATATGAAGATTGGCCCAGATTTAAAATTCGATAATACAATAGTACTTTTGGTAAAGTTATGGGAAAGTTTGTGCCATAAAACTCAGCCAATAGTAAAGGATTTGCAATCATATTGTACGGTGGCTCACGCCTGTAATCCCAGTACTTTGGGAGACCGAGGCAGGCAGATCACCTGAGGTCAGGAGTTCGAGACCAGCCTGGCCAACATGGTGAAACCCCATCTCTACAAAAAAATTACCCAGGCATGGTGGCGGGCACCTGTAATCCCAGCTACTCGGGAGACTGAGGCAGGAGAATTGCTTGAACCTGGGAGGCAGAGATTGCAGTGAGCTGAGATCACACTATTGCACTCCAGCCTGGGCAACAAGAGTGAAACTGTCTCAAAAAAAATAATAATTGTACAATGCAAATGGTCTTTGATTCAGCAATTGCACTTTAGAGAATTTGTCCTGCAGAGATGCTTATATATGTAAGGAATGGTCACTGTGCACACATGCTGACTGCATCACACCCAGTTTAGCAAAAGTTTAGAGACAAGCCAAATATACATCGATGGGAAAATGTTTAGATAAACAGCCACACAATGGAATACTATACAGCTACACAAAAGGAGGAAATAGGGATCACTAGTCTCATCACATACTGTAGGCTAAAAGGTAAATCAGTACAGACACTCTAGAAGGCAAATTAGAAATATCTACTATAATTGAAAATGTTTAATGTCCTCTTCAACATAGAAATGAGCTGAATAAACTATACAGCACTCAGAAAAAAATAGCATTAAGGCACTCTGTTGAGTGAAAAAAAGTTACAAATATATACATAAGTACATGTAAAACAGTAAGAAGTATATGGATATATATTTACAAAAATGAATGATTCATAGATAGATGATGGAGAGATAGATGATTGAGGGATATATAGATGATAAATAGATGATATAGATAGATACATAGATAATATGTAGATCAATAAATAGAGATAGATAATAGAAGATAGAGACATAGTTGCATAGATAGATACAGAAATAGATGATAGATAGATAGATAGATAGATAGATAGATAGATAGATAGATAACAAATCTATGGCTCTAGAGACACCTTTGGAGAATGAGAAAGGCTTAGGTGGGGTGGCAGGATTGTCAAGGAAAACCCTAGTCTTATCTGTAATGTCTCATTTGGTGCAAGAAGAACTCTTTTGTATCATTTGTTTTGTAACTTAATGCTCTTTTCCCATATGGTGTATATATATACACAATGGAATCCCATTTAGCCTTTAAAAAAGAAAAAGTTATCTCATTTGGCACAACATGGAGGAACCTGGAGGAACTTATGCTAAGTGAAGTAAGCCAGGTGCAGAAAGACAAACACACGTGATCTTACTTTTCTTGGCTAAATAATCTTATCTTTCTTATCTCGACTAAAATAGTCAAGCTCATAGAAACAGGAATAGAATGGTGGTTACCAGAGGCCAGGGCTGGGGGAGGGACAGAGAGGGGTGAAATGTTGGTCAAAGGGTAGAAGCTTCAGTTAGACAACAGGAATAAGTTTTTGAGATCTGCTGCACAGCCTGGTGCCTTTAGTAAACAATGTATTGTGTTAGTTGAAATTGCTAAGAAAGTAAACTTCAAATGTTCTCAACACAAAAATGATAAATACATGAAGTGATGGATTTGTTCATTACCTCGATTTAATAATTTCAGGTTGTATACATATATCATATATATATCATATATCATACATATCTCATATACATATATCAATGTATTATCTATCTATCCATTAATCATCTATTTCACCATCATCTACCTATAAATCATTCATTTTTATAAATATGTATCCATATACTTCTTGCTGTTTTACATGTACTTATGTATATATTTGTAACTTTTTTTCACTCAACAGGGTGCCTTAATGCTATTTTTTTCTGAGTGCTGTATAGTTTATTCAGCTCATTTCTATGTTGATATATGTATACATATATCATATATATATCATAACATCATATTGTGCCTCTAAACACATATAATTAAAACTTGTCGAAGACAAAGAACAAATTTAAAAACAAACTCATTTTCCAAAATTTATATATATATATATATACATATATATTTTTTTTTTTTTTTTTTTTTTGAGACGGAGTTTTGCTCCGTCGCCCAGGCTGGAGTGCAGTGGCCGGATCTCAGCTCACTGCAAGCTTTGCCTCCCGGGTTTACGCCATTCTCCTGCCTCAGCCTCCTGAGTAGCTGGGACTATAGGCGCCCGCCACCATGCCCAGCTAGTTTTTTGTATTTTTTAGTAGAGACGGGTTTTCACCGTGTTAGCCAGGATGGTCTCGATCTCCTGACCTCGTGATCCGCCCGTCTCGGCCTCCCAAAGTGCTGGGATTACAGGCTTGAGCCACTGCACCCGGCCTAAAATTTATGTTTTGAGAAAAGTAAAAGATCTCAGAGATAATATGCAGACCTGTGTCTATTTTGTGGACTTTCATTTACAAAGAAAAGCACAGTACGTGTTCATATAAATAAAAGTCACAGTGTGAGTTCATATAAATGTTGGCATTGGAATAGCCATTTTCTAGAAGAACACACAAAAAACTGTTGACTGTAGTCACTGCTAAGGTGGAGTTTAAAAAGGAACTTCATTTTTGTCATAAAGTCTTTTGACCATTTTTTTTTTTTAACTACATATATAATTTTGCTTGAAATCTGGGTTTTATACTCCAGGACGTGGGTCTGGGCAAAGATTTTCTACATAAGACCTCAAAAGCACAGGCAATAGAGAAATGAGATTATATCAAAAGAAAAACCTTCTGCACCGCAAAAGAAACAATCAACAAAGTGAAGAATCAACCCACAGAATGGCAGAAAATACAAATTACCCATCTGGCAAGCGATTAATAACCAGAATATATAAGCAGCTCAAACAACTCAATAGGAAAAGTAACCAAATCATCTGATTTTAAAATGGACAAAAGATCTGAATAGACATTTCTTAAAAGAAGACATACAAATGGCCAATAGGTAGATGGAAAAATGCTCAATGTCACTAATCTTCAGAGAAATGCAAATCAAAACCACAGTGAGATATCGTCTCATCCCAGTTAAAATGGCTTTTATCAAAAACACAGGCAACAATCGATGCTGGTGAGGACGTGGAGAAAGGGGAGTTCTCACACACTGTGGGTGGGAATATACATTACTGCAGCCACTGCAGAGAACAGCACAGAGGTTCCTTAAGAAACTACAACTAGAACTACCGCATAACCCAGAAACTCCACGACTGAAAAGAAAGACAAGAAATTTCTATCCCAAAGAAAGAAAATAAATCTGTTGAAGAGATATCTGTACTTCTGTGTTTATTGCAGCACTATTCACAACAGTCAAAATATGGATTTGACCTAAGTGTCTATCAATAGATGAATGGATAAAGAAAATGTAGTGTGTATACACAATGGAATACTATTCAGTCATTTAAAAGACTGAAATTTTGTCATCTGTGGCAACATGGATGGAACTGGAGGTCATTGTGGTAAGTAAATAAGCCAAAAACAGAAAGACAAATATCGCATGTTCTCACTCACATGTGGGAGCTGAAAAAGTGGATCTCATGAAAAAAGAAGATAGGTTGGCAGAGGGGAGGGAAGGATGAGAAAAAGTTGATTAATGGGTACAAATATGAGGTTTGATAGGAGAAATGAAACCTAGCACTCGAGAGATCACTGGGCTCACTATAGTTTACAATATGTACTCTACATTCCAAAACAGTTTGCTTGAGTTAGTTATGTTTCTAGCATAAGGAAAAGACAAACATTTCAAGCGATGGATATCCCAAGAACACTGACTTGATCTTTATCAATTATATGCAATATATTAGATTATCATATGTATTTCAAAACTATGTACATCTATTATGCTTCAATAAAAATATGTTTTAAAAAATAAAATTGCAAAAATATTCTTTATTTTAAAAGCATGAAAATGTTTATTTCCCCCCCAGGACTGCTGTGCTGGGCAAAGGCGTGGACGGGAGGACACTGAATCCAAGATACCCATCCATTCCAGTGCTTCCTCTCCTTCCTCCAGCCCCTGGCCTGGCTCAGGCCTTAGAATGTCCCCATTGTGCCCTCATTCTATAGCTGGTCCTCTCCAGTCCGCCCTCCACACTAGCCCTAGAAAGATCTTCCTGGTACCCAGATGTGACCTGTCCCTCCCCTGCTCAAACACTTCTCATGGCTCCCTATTGCCCTTGGGCTAAAACTGAAGCCATTAACTTTTTCCCGGAGGCTTCCACAACCAGCCCCTGCTACCATCTCCAGTTTTATCATCTCACCACAACCCACAACTCAGTCTTTTCCTCTCTCTCCCCTTCTCCTCCTTTCTGTCCTGACCCTGCTCTCTCTCTCTCTCTCTCTCTCTCTCTCTCTCTCTCTCTCTCTCTCTCTCTCCCCTCTCCTCTCCCTCTTCCTCCCCCAAAGACCCCAGATGGTCTTCTTGACCTAGAGCACTGCTCCCCAACTGTACCCAATTATCGACTGATCATTATTCAGGCTCTCAATTGAGACACTTTCTATACCCTGCTTCTCTTACTGTAAACCCCATCCCTGCCCATGTGGGAGTGTCTTGCCCAGGGACAGTTCCCCCACCAGGCTGGGAGCACCTGGAAAACAGATCCCTGGGCTGAGTCTTTCCCAGGTCTCCAGAGCACAGAAAGATGCTGTGCACAGATGTGGGGGTGGGAATGCAGTGTGGGAGCGTTTGCTGAATGAGGACAGGATGGATGAACGATGCAGGTGTTCCGGACAAGAATGGATAAATTTTACCCCCAGGTCTCCCTTATAAATCCCTGGACTGGACAGAAGGGTAGGAATTGGGGAACAGCAGAGCAAACATTCAACAAGTGAAGATGTTCGGGAAAAAAATGATATTTCTGGGAGAAAAGGAAGAGAGTGGAGGGGAAGTTCACTTGCTGAACATGTGCTAAGTGGCGTTATCTGTCCTCACATATCATCACCAATTCTCTCAGAAGCCCAGGTCTTTCTGTAACCTAACGGCCTGTAACCTTTCCCCAGACAGTCAGGCTGGGTATTAAGTCCTGCCTGTGGTCCTGTGCTCCTAATCCCACTAAGCAACAGTGGAATAATCAACAAAAACAACCCCTCTCCCCTTCCCACCTGGGGAACAGAGTCAATGAGAGAGGCTCAGGAACAGCCACCAGCACCTGCACTCACCATTCAATCTCTTTAGGCTCACGGTCCTTCAGAAGCTCTTGCACCTCCTGCCGGCAACGTTCCTGGTATTCCGGGTGCTTTGCAAGGTGGTACAGGACCCAGGAGAGACCACTGGCCGTGGTGTCATGGCCTGGGAGGCAGCAAGGCAGGCTTGGGTCTCTGGGCTGCTTCAGCACCCGAGGGTGGACAGCAACCATACATTTTGGGCCTCAGGGAAGATGGGGAAAGGGGGATGGGAAGTGTGAGGGGTCCACCCACCCTGTTCCTGGAATGAAGAGATCCAAGTTCCCACTCTAGCCCCACACTGGGGCCCTCACCCTCAAACATAAAGGTGTCAGCTTCTGCTCTTATGTCCTCATCAGACAACTTCTTCCCATCTTCATCCTGGAGAGAAGGCAATAATTTCCCAACCCCCACCCCCATAAAAAGCCACACTACCTCTGAGGGCTCTTGAGTCTAATCTAAGACAAGCTCTGAAGATTCATCCTCTTTCCAGAAACCCAAGCCCATCTTGCACTCCTAGACCCCTATTGGTCACCATGGCCAGAGCCCCAACCCCATGGACTTCCTTCCGGGTTCCTTGCCTTTCCTTTGGTCCCTAGTGGGAAGACTCAATGACCCATGGATGCTTTCATGTTTCTGCATGATGAAAACTTTCTGAGAAAAAGTTGCTGGCAACCTGGGTTACAGGATAATTAAATGGCAATTTGCTTTGGAAATTAGAGATTAAGTATTGCTTCAAAGATATTTGCCCACATTCTACAGTGGTAAATGAATCTTATCTCCCTGGAGATATTTGAGTTGTAAGTCTATGGAATATGGCATCCAGAACAAAGCACATAATCTCTCACAAAGCTGGTGCCCTCTCTCTTTCTTCCTCTCGCTCTCTCTCTCTCTCTCTCGCACGCTCTCTCCCTCTCTCTCTCTGTAGAAAATGTGCTGGAACTCATAATGTAGGGTGTCTCTCCTAGGGTACAAACTGTGCTGCACATACAGGTGAAAACATTGCATTGCCCTTGGAGGACTTTGACTTGGGGGTGGAAAGTCAGTGGCACAATCCTACTCTGGCTGATAGTATTGCCATGAGCAAGACATGGGCTGCTCTGATTCAGAGGTTTAATGCATCTGTCGTAATAGAAATGCACATAGACAAAGACATAGACACACAGACGTAGACACAGACACACATAGATAAAGTCATAGACTTAGACACAAACACAGACACACAAATCCACATAAACATAGACATAAACAAAGACATAGACATAGAAACACCCACAGACACAAATACTCGTAGACATAAACATGGACAGATAAAAACAGACACAGGCACACAGGCACAGTCGAAGACAAAAATATGGCCAGGCGCGGTGGCTCACACCTGTAATCCCAGCACTTAGGGAGGCCAAGATGGGCAGATCACGAGGTCAAGAGTTCGAGACTAAAAATATTGAAACTCCCTCTCAACTAAAAATACAAAAAAATTAGCCTGGCGTGGTGGTGGGTGCCTCTAATCCAAGCTACTCGGGAGGCTGAGGCAGGAGAATCATTTGAACCCAGGAGGCGGAGGTTGCAGTGAGCTGAAATCGTGCCATTGCACTGCAGCCTGGGTGATAGAGTGAGACTCCGTCAAAAACAGGAAAAGAGAAAAGAAGGAAGGAAGGAAGGAAGGAAGGAAGGAAGGAAGGAAGGAAGGAAGGAAGGAAGGGAGGGAGGGAGGGAGGGAGGGAGGGAGGGAGGGAGGGAGGGAGGGAGGAAGGAAGGAAAGAAAGAAAGGTAAAAACATAGACAAAGACAAAGACACAGATAAAGACACAGATACAGACAAAGACATACAGATATGGCCAATGACAAAGACAAAGACATACACACAGTCACAGTCATAGACAGAGACACAAACTCAGAGACAAAGATATAGAAAGACATAGGCAAAAACATAAACATAGACCCAGACATAGACGTAGATGTATAGATGGAAATGTGGCCAATTAACTCATTAGCTTGTAAATAGAGCAAACTCTCAGACTTGTCAGTTTCAAACCTAGCAGCTCCCTGCTACGTGCACTCCACAGAGTCATCTCTAAAACCTATCTCTGACCTGTCCCTCCATTCCTCAATCACCTTCCATGGCTCCCCAGTGCCCTCTGGATCAAGTTCAAATTCTTTCATCTGACATTTCACATGAAGCTCCCTTCTGCTTCTTGAATTCAGATCCCAGAGAAGCCCACCTTGCTCAGCAGGAGCACATCAATGAAGTCCAAAGTCTTGGATTTGGCCTTGGCTTGGAGGAAGTCATCAACACCCTGGCTAGGGAGGGTGCGGCGCCGCTCCTGGATGACGGCGTCTGTGAAGTCGTGCACCAGGCGGCAGGCTCTGCGGAAACGCTGCCCATCATGGGTGAGATAATACAGGAAATCTATGTACAGGAAGAACTGCTGGTGTCTTTTTGCCACAAGAGCACTGAGCTCCAAGATGGCGGCAATATATTCACTGGGCTTCCTGCAGGATAAGGGCAGAAAGGGAGGCAACAATTTAGTACACCGGAAGCCCCAAGAGCACCTGCCACCAGCAGCCAGGAGCTACCTCCTATCAGTAAACGGAGTATCCAGGAACAGATGACCCCACAGATACAGAGTGGGGATCAGCACGAAATCAACTCTCCAGGCTCTCTTATCTCTCCCTGCATCCTATCTCTGTGAGATGCCTCCATGCCGCTAGGCACCCAGAGGATAGTTTGCACATTATGCTCCTATTCTCTCTCTCCCTCCCAGTATACAGTCTTGCCCCTTCTCCTTCCTGAAGCTGTTCACAAAGCTAGGACTTTATGCTCCTCCAACTAGTGCATGGTCCATCTTCCACCCTAGCTTCTTTGCATCAGTGTTAACTCCATTACGGTCAGTCCCTGACAGAGACCCACTGTCAGGGACTGACCACCAGTTCAAACCCTTTTAATGAGTCCCTAGAAACCTCAAGATAAAATTCATACCAGTTCTTCAATGATCAGGTATAACAAAACTCCTCCAGGAAGGTTTGTCTGATTTCCCTCTCAGTCCTCCCTCCCCCACCTACCCACTTTGGGTCCACGGCGCAAGATCCCAGACCCTGGGCAAGAACTCACTCCTGACAATGGCTGTCAAAGCTGAAGACACATTTCTGCAGACTGTCCAAGGTCATGAGGCTGATGTGCTCAAACATGTCCAGACGGGCACTGCCCTCTGAGGCCAGGAGCTGCCACTTGGCCTAGCCAGAGAAGGGGACAGAGCTGGGGCAGGCTCCTTGCTCCCTTGAGCACCTCTCCAACCCCAATCGTCAAGATGCACTCCCCAGAATAAGCCTCTTCATCTTCTCCCCTGGGACCCCTCCCCAGGGAGGACCAGGTTATGGTACAAGCAAAAGCTGTTACTATTAAGAGATGAAGACCCAAGATTGGGAGTTAGGAGACCTAGGTTCAAGTTCCAGCTCTGGCTCCCGTGCTCTGTGTGCCATTAGTCAACTCATTACCCTCCCCTGTATCTTCAGGAACAGTTAAGATGATGTGCTTTGGAGCCATATAATCCACGTTAGAAACTCTGCTCCACCACGCCAAGCTCACTCATTAGCTGGGTGAACTTGGGTTAGCTCCCTAATCTCTCAGACCTGCAGTTTCATCATCTGCCATGGGGCAGAAATACATCGTCTCTCCTTCACAGAGTTCTTAAAATCAAATTAGACAATATATACTATGTCATGGAATGGGCACATGGCATTGTTTCTGGCATATGGTGAGTGCTTAATAAATGTTGGGTTTCCTCATCTGCATTGCTATAAATTGATTACCAAAACATCCCTATGTTTGTAGAGGTAGTCCTCCATGAATCCTGAGCACCCTTTCTGGGCATGTCACAAATGCAAGACACTGATGTTCTTAACCTGAAAATTTTCTCAGAGTTGTGTTTGCAGAAAATAACTTTGAGGATAAGGGACACCCCCTGGATATGCTGCTTCTGCTTGCTATAAAAACAGATTCCTAAGCCTAATGCCCCTTCCCTGTAATGCAATATATGATGTCAGTAGGCATTTATAGAAGCCCACCTATGTCAGCCCATGGGATTTGACAGGCTTGGAGAAGAAATGCAATCTGACAAGAAACACATGCTCCTCCCTGTTTCATGAATAGTAAAACTATCCTTTGTCTCTGACCCAGGAGTTTCTTGTTCTTCCAGAAGAATTTATGAAACAGTAACTAGCTTAACGTCAATTTTAAAGTTAAAAAAATCTAAACACTTCACAAAACTTTTGCTCCAATTCTTCCCTTCTCCTCATATCCACACCGTTCGCAATGTGGTTTTTTAGCAACACCCAATAACAGACAGAGCCTATTTTACCCCCTGCCATTGATTCTGTGTTGGACTAATGACTTTCAATGTCAAAATACAATGTGGTAAAAATGATGAGGTGATAACGAATGAAGCTAAGCCTCATCTTACTCCCTGGAACCCTGTCTGCATTGTAAACCATGGGGCGCCTTCTGGAGGGAGAGAATCAGATGGAAGGAACATCCAGGGGTCCCAGCTGAAGCCAGCCAAAACCCAAACATGTGAGAGAACTCGGCCAACACCTGCAAGGCTGCCTACATGACCCCAGGCTGCTCTTGTACCACGAGTGATCCCTTCCATCCACATTCAGAAGAACCCATCAACTGTCCCACAGACTTATCAGCATTCATAAACCTTTATTGCTTTAAACCAATGAGCTTTCAGGTTGTTTCTTCTCAGCAATAGCTACTATGCAATTGTCGTTGTGACCCTCTTGAGTTTACAGGGCTTGGGTGATGGAAACATAGAAACAGACACCTTCTGGGCACCTACTATGCACCAGGGACATGACTCCATTACATCACCTTGACCATCTTTTAAGTAGGGATGATTAGTCCCATTTTACAGATGAGGAAACCAAAGCTCAGAGAGGAAGAGCAATGACCCAGTGGCACCCAGCAGAGCCAAAATTCCAGACCAGATCTGTCTGTGGTCCCCTCAACCAAAGGCTGCAGCTGGGACCTTGGCTTCAAATAACTCACATGCATGATGTTCACACTCTCATTGAAAATCTTCATATAGGGCTTCAGGATGTTGAAATGGAAGGCGGGTGTCAGCATCCGACGGTGGCGGCTCCACTTGTCACCAGCACTCAGCAGGAGCCCATCCCCTAACAGGGCAGCCAAGGGCCATGGGCAAGGGCGTCTCCCTCCCCTGGCCCTCCAGGTTGTTCCCAACCCTGTTCACCTGCAGATACTTACCCAGCCAGGGCTTCAGGAAGCTGTAGAAGACCTTATCCTTTGGTACAATGGCAGCTGACATAAATGAGGACAATCAGGGGCCATGGAGGCAGGTGAAGGAGGAACTTTGGGGGTGGGGGGAGGCTCCCAGCAAGAGGTTTGCATTTCTCCCTTCCGAGCCCCACATAGCAGGAAGGGGGCCAAGGGCAGAGGAAGAAGGGAGGATGGGGGAGGGGAGGGAAGACCAGACCAGGCTACGGCAGCACAGTACAGCAATGACACTGCCTAACCTGGCACGGAGAAGCTATGTCGGGCCTCCAGCATGCCTTGACATGCCTCCTACATGACCCAACATTTTCCTCAACCCCTGAGCACAGCTCGGCACTCTACAGAATGCCTTTACATGGACCCAGGACACCCTGTCTGCCCCATCACTCGCTGACATCTTCTGGCATGGCATCTTCTGACATGGACCTGGACATGAGACATGACCCTGACATGTGTTCACATGTCCTGACATGGCCACAAAATACATGACAATTCCTAACACGAGACAGTATGCTCTAACATGCACCTGAGATGGTCTAACACGACCTTAAAAGCGCGTTCCACATACAGGCTCCGGGTTGAATATAAATATGGTATCTTTAACGTCCCAGACATAGCCCACATGTGATCCAGACTGTTCCTTAGGCATGACCCAAACATACTATAACACAGCCTCAGACAAGACTCAAATAATGTATCAGACAGCTCACGCAGGGACTCTGGGTCCCAGACCTCACACAAGCCCCAAACGTGGCCCAGATGTGACCAGCAGGAGGAAACGACAATGTCAAACAGCACCTGAGACAAGAACCAAACAGGCCCTCACATGCCCCACATGTCCTTGGCCACAGATGAGCCCCACACATGACCAGCTCTACATGACCCCAGTTGGAATGACATACCAGATGTAAGCAGGTATAACATATTTCAGGTGTAACCAGGACCCACGTGTAAATATACACACGACTAGACATAGCCGTACAGCAGACCCGTACAGCCAACATAGAGACATGCCCCAGACATGAGCAAACAGGAACAGAGGTCAGACAGGTGGAAGTCCAAGGGAGAGGGAGGCAGTGGCATCTCCACCACAGCTCCTCCCGTCTGCACGTGGGCACGCAATCCACTGGAGGCAGCACAGAGACCCCAGCTGTGGGCAAGGCGTGGCCAGTGCAGTGTCTACCTGGAGCAAGGAGCACAGGCTTGATGTAGGTGGGGTGGAAGATGCGGACGATTGCGTGCCAGGGCCCCACCCACCAGCAGCACACATCACCAAAGGTGCACACCAGGCTTTGTATGTATAGGAGACCTTCCTCCGAGCTGTGAATCTGGAGAGAAAGACACAGGAACCAATTCAAGCTCTCCTAGGCTGTGAGAGAGAAGGATCTGCAGGGAGGAGTTCGAGGCCCTCACCCTGAGAATTTCAAGCAGCATCTCATCCTCCTCTCAGTGCTGAGCCCCTCTGGGCTTCCTCCTCACATCCTCCACACAGGACTCTCTAGTCCTTCAGTTACACAGACAGAAAAGGTATTTCCCCATGTGGATCCACACACCATGTTCCCTGGGCTGGGCTTTCATTCATCCCATTTTCCAGACGAAGAGACTGAGGCTCTAAATGATAAAGTCACTTGCCCATAGTCCCAGACCATGGCAAGCCTGAGGCCTGAGACTGGGTCTATCTGCACCCATGGTCTGAGTCCTTAACCATCAGACTTCTTTGTGCCCCCAAAACAGTAGCTCTGGAAGACCCAGGCCTGCCAAGACTGGGCAATCGGAGACACAGGGTTTGGGTGAAAAATTGGTCCTGTGATCCAGGCCAGGAGAAGTAAATCATGGGCCTTTTCTGGGAACTCTGGGGGAAATGTGGGCTTTCCTTTGAGAATTGAGCTTCTGGGACTCATTGTTGATGTCATGAGGGAAAGGCCGTCTTGAAAGGAAAAGTGGCGTGGAGAAAGCTAAAGCCAAGAGAGGAAGGCAGATTTCCAACGACATTGTTTGAGACCTGGATCCAGCCATTCCTAAAGGCCATCCTCCCTGGACTTTAAAATCAATAGATTCTCTTTCTTTGCTTAGACCACACCAGGTTGGGTTTCCACCACTCACAACTGAAAGAGACCTCAATAACCAGAGACAGCAGCTGGGAACCAGCCCAGAGTCACTCAGCATTTTGAGGCCAGAGCCATCGTCTGTAGGATGCTGCCTGTTCCCCTGCTCAGCCTGGCCTGTCCAAGATGGGAAGCACAGGGGTCAAGGAGACGGCCCCAAGTTGGGGTGGAGTCTCCTTTTGGAGATTCCCAGGGCCTGCAGCAGGAGAGCAATGAATTTAGGGCAGACAAACTACAGGATGGAGTAGAAGGACTTGACCCACACCAGAGGTGGACGTTATGGAAATAACAGTCCAGATCCTCCACCAATCACAAGTCCTCCTCATTGTTCTAGGCTTTGCGACAGGCAAGGTGATGCTAGACCTGGCAAGGGGCCTTGAATACTAACGATGCCCAATTGCATCACCCTGCGCTCTCCTTTCAAACATTCCTACTCATTGTTCCAGACATGGCTCCAGTAACTCTTACTCCAGGAAGCCTTCCAGCCTGCCCCAGCAGACAACCTGCTCTTCTCTGGGCTATCATCCATCTCCTTCTGGCCCTTTCTTGATCCCATGAAGTTGGGGATGTCTCCATCCACATCCGCCTCCTTAAACTTGGGGATTCCTCCAGGACAGGGCCTTGGGTTGAAGTCTCTTGGGGCCCCAGGGCAGCCCAAAACACCAGGACAGGGTGTCAGAGGGCAATGGAGAGAGGAGATGCTGAGATGGGAATTGGTGAATACATGAAAGAAAGATGAGGATGGCTGAGAGAGAAGGAAAGGAGAGGCCAGAGTACTGCAGGGGTCAAACAGGAGCTTGGGGACAGAGGGACTTGCAGACCTGAAAGGCACCGCAGCACCCACCACCAAGTGTTCCAGGTGGTACCTGAGGCATTGATGACAGATCGGATGAGGTTGGGGTGGCAAAAACGGATGACGGGGATGATGGGGCCCATCCAGACCTTAAAGCCCTGGGGGTAGGTGGCCACCAGCTGAGTCAGGACCCTCATGCCCTGCTCCGTGGGGGTGACCTGCAAACAAGGCGGGGGCCATCACCTCCTGTAATGGTTAATTCCAGGTGTCCACTTGACTGGGCTAAAGGATGCCCAGATAGCTGTTTATCTGTCTGTAAGGGTGTTTCCAGAAGAGACTGGCATTCGATTTGGTTAAACTGAGGAAGGAAGAACCACCCTCCCCAGTGTGGGCAGAACTCATTCAATCTTTTGAGAGCCCAGGTAGCACAAATAAGCAAAGGAAAGGCTAATTTGCTCTGTTCTGGGACTGGCACATCCATCTTCTCCTGCCCTTGGACATCAGAACTCCACCTTCTCAAGCCTTTGGACTCTGAGTTACACCAGCAGTGTCTGTTTCTCCAGCCTGCAGACAGCAGACCATGAAGCATCTCAGCCTCCATAATCCTGTGAGCCAATTCCCATAATAAACTTCCTCTTCTATATATCTACCTACTTATCTATCATCTATATACCTATCTACCTATCTGTCTACCTATCCATTCTATTTACCTACATATCTATCTATCTGTCTATCTATCTATCTATTCTATATACCTATGTTTCTATGTATCTATCCATCTATCTAATCCATCCATTTATCTTATCTATTTGTCTATCTATCTACCTATCCATTCATCCATCCTATCTGTGCATCCATTTATCCATCTAGTCTATTATCTACCTACCTACCTATCTATTCATCTATCTATGTATCTAATCTATTCATCCTATCTAACCTTTCTATCTATATATCTATCTACCCATCAATCCATCCATCCATCTTATCTGTACATTCATCCACTTATCCATTTACACTATTATCTATCAATCATCTAGCTATCTATCCATTTATCTAATCTATCCATCCTACATATCTAATCTACCTATCTATCCACCTAATCTATCCATCCGATCTACTATTCTATGTATGTATTATCCATCCATCCATCCATCCATCCATCCAATCCATGCATCCATCTGTCCATCCATCCATCTATCCTGTTATCTATGTATGTATGTATGTATGTATGTATGTATCTATCTATCTATCTATCTATCTATCTATCTACCCACCCACCTACTTATCCAGCCAGCCAGCCATCTATTCACCCTGTCTGTACATTCATCCATCCATCTATCCTATTACCTATCTATCTATCCACATTCTTCCTGCTCTATCTCTCTTGGGGCCACCTCCAAGTCCCAAGGGTGCATCCCAGGGCAGAGGGAGAAGACACACTGTCCGCTCACAGAGGCCCAGTTAGCTTGAGAGGAAAGATTTTCTTGTTCTGGGAGTCATTTCAGCCCAGAGGCGGCCACATGGGGAGGTCCTCACAGGGGAGATTCGTAGGGAGCAGTATGGCCTCAGGACATGTCCCTAAGGCTGGTCCCCACACCCCTTCATGTCCTGGCCGGTCCACAGAGGTTCCAGTTCCTCCCATGGAGAAAGTTCTGCACACAGGGCACCTTCCCTTCTCAGCAGCCACTAGGGGAGCAGAGGTGACTCTGATCGTCCATCAGGACAGTGTCTCCCACCTGGGAGCAGCTTCTGCACCAGGCTCTGTGCTAGTGCGTCCTGTGCACCCTCCCACTTCACCTGTGGACACACCCATCAATCCTGCCATTTGCAATGAGCAGATTGAGACCACGTTCCCCAAAGGGCAGAGCAGGTCTAAGTCAGAGGGCAAGGTCTGGGGGAGGAGAAAGGTCAGGGAAGGCTTCTGAAAGGGGAAGTGAGTGGCCAACTTTTATGTGGGTTTGGTAACAGGACCTCATTGGGACATCTTACTGGGGAGGAACAAGATAAGAGGAAGGTGCCTCCGGATGTGGTGGAGGTGAGAGACAGCCCACACCTCTCCTCTGGCCCACCTGTACCCTCATAACAGGAAATAGGCCAGGCAGGGAGAGGACCCTGGACAGTGGGTGCAGGAGGTCTCGAGTCTAGCCATGGAGAATGTGGGAATGCCAGGGACTCGCCTCTGTGCAGCCAACCCTCTGCCCAGAAGCCCCACAGTGGTCTCTCTCCACTAATGTGGGAAGACAGGCAGGAAAAGGATTCAATGCAGGCCGGGAGTGGGAAGACAAGGAGGTGAGAAGGGTTTGGGTTGGCACAGCACAGAAATGAGTGAATAAGCAGAGGAATGAGTAAGACGCCTCCCCTGCTTCTCTGCCACCCCAGACCCCAGCCCACCCCTTTACCCCCACTCCCTGAACCTCAGACCCCTCAGGAAGTCCATTCACTCTGAGACTCCAGACCCGTCCTGCTGCCACACTCACCAGGCCCAGGTGACCCAAGAACCAGTTCCGTTTCGGGGGTTGCGGGAAACACCGGAGGCGGCGGCAGTTGTCATAGAAGGCGTAGGTCCAGGCCAGGACACGGGCCAGGAGCCAGGAGACCCCGAGCAGCAGCAGGAGCAACCACGGGGACGCTGCCACCGGCCCGAGGCCCAGCCAGGACAGGCTCAGCTGGGACATCCTGCAGGGCAGACGGGATGGTAGGTGAGGTCCTGAGGCCCAGGGAAGGGCCCAGGGAGCTCCAGGACAGTGGAGAGAGGCAGGGACGGGCAGTGCTGGAGGTAGAACAGGGAGAGTAAACATGAATGGATAAACAGGGGCTGAGAGGTAAAGTCCAGAAGGACCCAGCCAAAATCAGCAGCCAAGTGACCTCCAGTTACCTGGTAAGCACTTAGACTGGGAAAGAGAGAGAGAGACTGATTAAAGTCCAGAAAGACCCAGCCTGAATCACTGGGAGGTTGCCAGGGGCTTGGTTTCAGTTAGGAACCCACCCATCCTCCAGCCCAGCACCCAGGAGCTGCCTGGGCCTTGGGCAGCCATGGAGAATGTGGGAAGGCCAGGGACTTGCACACCCAACCCCTTGCCCAGTGCCCCTCTCCATCACAGGCTAGGATGCCCCAGGCCCGCCACCCCCACCCTGGCACCTTCTGTCAGGGGCAGCTTGTCCCACACAACTTCCTCTCCCCTTCTTCTGAGAGGTTTCTGCCCCTGGCCCCTGATGTAGGGAGGGCTGTGGGAGGCTGGGTTGGGCTGAGCTGGACCAGCCAATCCTCACAGCCTGGGTGCTTCTCCTGTGTCTGGGCAGCCAGCCAAAACCTGGGTGTGGGGGACCAGCTGGATGCAGAAGAACCAGCTCGGGTGACACAGCAAGGGCACTGGATCCTCAGGTCTCAGCGCCTCCCACACAAGGTGAAGAGTAAGCTGAGAGGGGTCAGATAGAGTTTCTACTGTGTGACACCTGCTCTTAAAGAGTGGCTACTGAGTGTGTGGCAGATAAAAGCATGAACTTGAGAGTTCAGGTGTCAAGTGAGCCAGGCCAAGCCAAGCCTTGCTCCAGATCATCTCCTGTGCTCCTCTCTAAGACTGGACCAGCAGGACACCATGCACCACTTCTGGATGCTGAATCAGGCAACTTGGAGGAGACAAGCCTCTATCCCCCCTGCTGCTGGATGGAGTTCAAGTCCTGCCTCCAGGCAGCCCAGGGCCCTGTTGGAGACCTGACTGCTAGGAGCAGGAAGAAACAACCCAGCCCCGTCGAGGATTACCCGGGTCAGATTCTGGAGATTAAGAGCCCAGCTGGAAGAGCAAATCTGGAGGCTGGACTCAGTGTAAGAGGACAGAGCAGGGACGTGGAGGGTAAGGATGGGAGGGAACAGATGGGGTCCAGGCAGGGGAAGGGCAGAGCTGGGGAACCCTGAACGGAGTCCTCATTCTGCCTCATCCTTGCTCTGGCTTTGGCCAGCACTGCCCCTCCTGGGCTCAGTCTTCCCACCTGGGAAATAGGATGTTGGATGAGGGCCTTAGAGGGGGACAATGAGGGCTCCTAAGAGGAGGGAGCCCCAAAAAGGAGTGACGACTAGCAACCGTTTCCCGCAACCCCCAAAACGGAACTGGTTCTTGGGTCACCTGGGCCTGGTGAGTGTAGCAGCAGGATGGGTCTGGGGTCTCAGGGTGGATGGACTTCCTGAGGGGTCTGAGGCTCAGGGAGTGGGGGTGAAGGGGTGGGCTGGGGTCTGGGTTGGCAGAGAAGCAGGGGAGGCATCTTACTCATTCCTCTGCTTATTCACTCATTTCTGTGCTGTGCCAACCCAAACCCTTCTCACCTCCTTGTCCTCCCACTCCTGGTTAGTTGCTAGTTGTCACTAGCAGGGTGACAACCAGCACTAAAGGGTGGCAACTAGCACTTGAGCTGTTGTGTACCAGTCTCTACTCTGCACAAAGGCTGCATGGAAAGTACTTCTACTGTGTGCCAGGTGCGAAATCCCATCTACTCTGCGCCAGGTGCTCTCCATAAAGTGTGCCTACTGTGTGCCAGGTGCGAAATCCCGTCTACGCTGTGCCAAGTGCTCTCCATAAAGTGTGCCTACTGTGCGCCAGGTGCCAAATCCCGTCTACTCTGCGTCAGGTGCTCTCCATAAAGTGTGCCTACTGTGCACCAGGTGCTCTACATTAACCTTGTACACTCAGTGCCTAGTATTCCTCGTAGAGTGTCTACTGTGTGCCACTTGCTCCACATAATGAGTGCCTACTGAGTGCCACCTCCTGTATATGAAGAGTGTCCACCGAGCACCAGGTGCTGTCCACATAATACATGCCTACCAAGTGCCAAGTGCTCTACATATAGAGTGCCTACTGATACCTCCTGCTCTATATGGAGACTCCCTACTGAGTGTTCCCTGATCTACGTAAAGAGGGTCTATTGAGCGCTGCCTGCTCTATGTTAGGAGTGCCTACTGAGTGTTGCCTGTGCTCCATAAAGTGTACCTACTGTGGGCTGCCTTCTGTACATAAAGGGTGCCTTCTGAGTGCTGCTTGCTCTACAGGAAGAGTCCCTACTGTTGCCTGTGCTACATAAAAAGTGCCTACTCAGTACCACGTGCAATACATAAACAGTGCCTACTGGCCTGTAATCTCAGCACTTTGGGAGGCCAAGGCGGGTAGATCACGAGGTCAGGAGATCGAGACCATCCTGGCTAATGTGGTGAAATCCCGTCTCTACAAAAAAAAAAAAAATACAAAAAATTAGCAGGGCATGTTGGCGGGCGCCTATAGTCCCAGCTACTAGGGAGGCTGAGGCAGGAGAATGGTGCAAACCCAGGAGGCAGAGCTTGCAGTGAGCCAAGATCGCGCCACTGCACTCCAGCCTGGACAACAGAGCAAGACTCTGTCTCAAAAAAAAAAAAAAAAAAAAAGAGTGCCTACTTGCCAGGCGCAGTAGCTCACGCCTGTAATCCCAGCACTTTGGGAGGCCGAGACAGGCAGATCATCTGAGGTCGAGAGTTCAAGACCAACCTGGCCAACATGGTGAAACCCCATCTCTACTAATAATACAAAAATTAGCCGGGCGTGGTGGTGGGCACCTGTAACCCTAGCTACTTGGGAGGCTGAGGCAGGAGAATCGGTTGAACCCAGGAGGCGGAGGTTGCAGTCAGCTGAGATCGTACCACTGCACTCCAGCCTGGGCAACAGAGTGAGACTCCATCTCAAAAAAAAAAAAAAAAAAAAAAGGGAGAGAGCCCATTGAATGCCACTTGCTCTAGATAAAGGGTGACTGCAGATGCCACCTGCTCTGTATAAAGAGTGCTTACTGAGTCTCGTCTGCTCTTGATAAAGAGTGCCTACTCACTGCTGCCGGCTCTACATCAAGAGTACCTACTGATGCCACCCACTCTTCATAGTGTGCCCACTCTGTGACACGTGGTCTACACAGAGTTTCTACTGTGTAACACCTGCTTTTAAAGACTGCCTACTGGGTAAATGTATTTTTTTTTTGAGACGAAGTCTCACTCTTGTTGCCCAGATGGGAGTGCAATGGCACTATCTTGGCTCACAGCAACCTCCGCCTCCCGAGTTCAAGTGATTCTCCTGCCTCAGCCTCCTGAGTAACTGGGATTATAAGCATGCAGCACCATGCCCAGATAATTTTGTATTTTTGGTAGAGACGAGGTTTCTCCACGTTGGTCAGGCTGGTCTCCAACTCCTGACCTCAGGTGATCCTCCTGCCTTGGACTCCCAAAGTGCTGGGATTACAGGCGTGAGCCACCGTGCCGGACCATAAATGTAATTTTAAGATGAGTGGGGCTGTCCACAGGCAAGGACAAGGAGAAGGAGTTTGAGACCATGCAGGAGGTGTATGGTGCTGTGGATGTTCACCAGGCCTAGGTTTGGACACAGCTCTGCTATTTCCTGGCTGTGTGACCTTGGGCAAATCTTTCAACCTCTCTGCACCGTATGTATCTCCTCTGTAGGAGTCATATGATGGGTGAAATGGCTGGTGGAGTTGACCCTGAATACAGCAAGAGCTGTGAGGGTTTCACAGTGGTGCCCCAGGGAGGTGAACTGACCATTTGGGGGCAATTCATCATCCTGACAAAAGGAGACTCATTACATGTATTATTTGCCTAAATATACTCTGAAATGATACAGAAAACTTAAAAGTGTTTATCTTTGTAAAGATGGGGAGACTGGGTAAATGAAGGGCATAGGTACAAGAAACATTTTTCACTGTGCATTTTATTTTTTACATGTGTGAATATAGTTTATGCCAAAAATATTGCATTTAAAAATTTAGCCACCAGCTGTCAATGAGTCTCATCTGAATCACAAAAAGGAGGAGGTAGAGCAAGACAGTAGAATAAAATGCTCCATTGATCATCTCCTCCACAGGAACGCCAAATACACCAACTATCCACACAAGAAAATACCTTCATAAGAACCAAAAATTAGGCGAATGATCATGGTGTCTGGTTTTAACATCGTATCCAAAAAAGAGGCACTTCGAACTCATGGAGATAGAGAGTAGAAGGATGGTTACCAGAGGCTGGGAAGGGGAGTGGGGGAGTGAGGGGAAGTTAGGGATGGTTAATGGGTACAAAAAAAGACAGAAAGAATTAATTAGACCTATAATAAGACCTACTATTTGATAGTACAACAGGGTGACTATAGTCAATAATAACTTAGTCATACATTTTAAAATAATGAAAAGCGTGTAACTGGATTGTTTGTAACACAAAGGATAAATGCTTGAGGGGATGGATATTCTCCATGATGTGATTACTATGCATTTCATGCCTGTATCAAAACATCTCGTGTACCTCATAAATACATATACCTACTATGTACCCACAAAAATTAAAAAGTTAAAGAAGCACTAAAGAATGTGCAAAAGACAGTCTTTTTTTTTTTTTTTTTTTTTGAGACAGAATCTTGCTCTGTCACCCAGGCTGGAGTGCAATGGCACGAGAGCTCACTGCAACGTCTGCCTCCCAGGTTCAAGCGATTCTCATGCCTCAGCCTCCCAAGTAGCTGGGACTACAGGCTCATGCCACCACGCCCGGCTAATTTTTGTATTTTTAGTAAAGACAGCATTTCGCCATGTTGGCCAGCCTGATCTCGAACTCTTCACCTCAGGTGATCTGTCTGCCTCGGCCTCCCAAAGTTCTGGGATTACAGGAGTGACCCACCGTGCCTGGCCAAAAGACAGTCTTAAATTGCCTACACTAACACTTCCCCATCTCCCAGAAGTGGCCTCATGGCTGGAGAGGGACTCCGTGTGCTTCAGTGGAGGGGAGAGAGCACAGTGATTATGGGACTTTGCATTGAAACTCAGTGCTGCCCTGTCACAGCAGAAAGCAACATGGGGTAGAATTTAGCCAGTGCCCCCAGAGGAAGCATTTAGGCCAACCCTAGTCAGCGTGGAACTGTCCCTCCCAATGGTCAGAACCTGAGTTCCAGCTAGTACCACCATTGCAGGTCAAAGTGCTCCAGGGTCCTAAATAAACTCGAAAGGCTACCACCTGTTTGTTCAAGGCCCAAGGGCTCTACAATCAGTATGTGGTAAATCCAG